CCATGCCCGGCCAGAATTGGCTTTCATGTATTGTATTTTGCATCTCTAAATTTTGTAGAACTTGATTTGCTGTGGTGTCAATGTTCCTGTCCCTCCAAAATTCATGTGTTGAAATCCTATCCCTCAAGGTGATGGTATTAGGAGGTGGGGCCTCATTAGATCATGAGGGTGGAGGTGTCATGAATGAGATATTAGTGCCTTTATAAGAGACCACAGAGGGAGCTCCCTTGTTCCTTCAACCATGTGAGCTTATTGTGAGAAGATGGCTGTCTGAACCAGAAGTGGGCCTTCACCAGACGCCAGATTTGCCTGTGCCTTGATGGACTTCCCAGCCTCCAGAATTGTGAGAAGTACATTTCTATTTTCAACCCCCCAGTATATGGTAGTTTGTTATGAAAATTTAGCAGCCTAAATGGACTAAGAAATGACATAAGAGGAAGAGCCATAGATGTGAATAAGGAAACGTGGGCTTAGAGTACTGTTATTAGCAAACTCAACTTAGGATCTTGAGCAAACCACTTTTTCCATGTTAACACCACCCTCTCACCAAAGTATGGATGATAATTCCAACCCTACTTAGTCATGCTGTGAGACAGTCTAGTACCAGGTAACCCCAAGGGAAATAAGCCCAAGGATTGTAGGAATGTTTCTTTCCTCTTTTCCTGTGAGATAAACCACAGAAGTTGCCTGAGGAATGGAGAATGAATTAAGAATATAGCAGAGAGATGTGAGGATTTGGGTTTTAGTAACCAGGAATTAGGCCAGGTGCAGTGGCTCAAGTAATCCCAGCACTTTGGGAGGGCAAGGTGGGCAGATCACTCAAGTCCAGGAGTTTGGGACCAGCCTGGACAATGTGGCAAAACCCCATCTCTAGAAAAACTACATAAAAATTAGCTGGGCGTGGTGGTACGCACCTGTAGTCCTAGCTACTCGGGGGCGCTGAAGCAGGAGACTTGCTTGAAACCTGGAGGCGGAGGGTGCAGTGAGCCATCACACCACTGAATTGCAGCCTGGGTAATAGAGCAGGACCTTGTCTTAAAAAAAAAAAAAGGAAGGCCGGGCGCGGTGGCTCAAGCCTGTAATCCCAGCACTTTGGGAGGCCGAGACGGGCGGATCACGAGGTCAGGAGATCGAGACCATCCTGGCTAACACAATGAAACCCCGTCTCTACTAAAAATACAAAAAAATTAGCCGGGTGAGGTGGCGGGCGCCTGTAGTCCCAGCTACTCGGGAGGCTGAGGCAGGAGAATGGCGTAAACCCGGGAGGCGGAGCTTGCAGTGAGCCGAGATAGCGCCACTGCACTCCAGCCTGGGTGACAGAGCGAGACTCCGTCTCAAAAAAAAAAAAAAAAAAAAAAGGAAAAGAAAAAATATATCACTTTAAAATAAAAAAGAAACCAGGAATTTTTCTTTGAATTGTCTGGCTTGTCATTTACTTCTTTTCTGTTGCTTTGTATCATGCTGCCATTTTCTTTACTTCTACTTCTAGGCATCTGAGTTTACTTGAGAGAACCACCTACTCATGTTATTTTGACTTTTAAAAATAATTTATTGTTTTTTTAAATTACAAAAGTAAATGAGCTTCAGTATAAAAACACTTAAAATAGTCTAGCAATATATGAAGTAAAAAAGAGATGCCCTCTTTTTTTTTTTTTTTTTTTTTTTTGAGACGGAGTCTTGCTCTGTCGCCCAGGCTGGAGTGCAGTGGCCGGATCTCAGCTCACTGCAAGCTCTGCCTCCCGGGTTTACGCCATTCTCCTGCCTCAGCCTCCCGAGTAGCTGGGACTACAGGCGCCCGCCACCTCGCCCGGCTAGTTTTTTGTATTTTTAGTAGAGACGGGGTTTCACCATGTTAGCCAGGATGGTCTCGATCTCCTGACCTCGTGATCCGCCCGTTTCGGCCTCCCAAAGTGCTGGGATTACAGGCTTGAGCCACCGCGCCCGGCTCTTTTTTTTTTTTTTTTAAGACAGTCTCGCTCTGTCATGTTCTGTTGCCCAGGCTGGAGTGCAGTGGTGATCTCAGCTCACTGTAAGCTCTGTCTCCCGGGTTCAAGCCATTCTCCTGCCTCAGCCTCCTGAGTAGCGGGACTACAGGCGCCCGGCACCATACCTGGCTGATTTTTTGTATTTTTCGTAGAGACGGGGTTTCACCGTGTTAGCCAGGATGGTCTCGATCTCCTGACTTTGTGGTTCGACTGCCTCAGCCTCCCGAAGTGCTGGGATTACAGGCGTGAGCCACCGCCTATGCCTTTTTTTTTTTTTTTTTTTTGGAGACGGAGTCTCGCTCTGTCGCCCAGGCTGGAGTGCAGTGGCCGGATCTCAGCTCACTGCAAGCTCTGCCTCCCGGGTTTACGCCATTCTCCTGCCTCAGCCTCCCGAGTAGCTGGGACTACAGACGCCCGCCACCTCGCCCGGCTAGTTTTTTGTATTTTTTAGTAGAGACGGGGTTTCACCGTGTTAGCCAGGATGGTCTTAATCTCCTGACCTCGTGATCCGCCCGTCTCGGCCTCCCAGAGTGCTGGGATTACAGGCTTGAGCCACCGCGCCTGGCCTGCTTTTTTTTTTTTTTTTGAGATGGAGTCTTGCTCTGTGGCCCAGGCTGGAGTGCAGTGGCGCGATCTCGGCTCACTGCAACCTCCGCCTCCTGGATTCAAGTGGTTCTCCTGCCTCAGTCTCCCAGGCAGCTGGGACTATAGGTGCACGCCACCCCACCCAGCTAATTTTTGTATTTAAAAAAATTTTTTTTGAGATGGAGTCTCGTTCTGTCGCCAGGCTGGAGTGCAGTGGTGCGATCTCGGTTCACTGCAATCTCTGCCTCCTGGATTCAAGCGATTCTCCTGCCTCTGCCTCCAGAGTAGCTGGGACTACAGGCACATGCCACCATGCCCAGCTAATTTTTGTATTTTTGGTAGGAATGGGGTTTCACCGTATTGGCCAGGCTGGTCTTGAACTGCTGACGTCCTGATCCACCTGCCTCGGCCTCCCAAAGTGCTGAGATTACAGGTGTGAGGTACCGCATCCAGCTGAGATGCCCTCTTCTTATACCTCTTTATTTCCTCTTTCCAGAAGAAAATACTGTTTTGTGTCCTTCAAGACTTTTTTATTTTTATTATTTATTTATTTTGTGATGGGGTTTCATTCTGTTGCCTAGGCTGGAGTACAGTGGCGCGATCTCAGCTCACTGCAACCTCCACCTCCCAGGCTCAAGCGATACTCATGCCTCAGCCTCTGGAGTAGCTGGGATTGCAGGCAGGCACCACTGTGCCTGGCTAATTTTTTTTGTATTTTTAGTAGAGACGGTGTTCACCATGTTGGCCAGGCTGGTCTTGAACTCCTGACCTCAGGTGATCTGCCCACCTTGGCATCCCAAAGTGCTGGGATTACAGGCGTGAGCCACTGTGCCCGGCCTAATTTTTTTTTTTTTTTTCCTGAGACAAAGTCTCACTCTATTGCCCAGGCTGGAGTGCAGTCGTACAATCTCGGCTCACTGCAACCTCTGCCTCCTGGGTTCAAGTGATTCTCATGCCTCAGCTTCCCAAGTAGCTGGGATTACAGGCACTCGCCGCCACGCCCGGCTAATTTTTTTTTTTTTTTTTGGTATTTTTATTAGAGACGGAGTTTCACCATGTTGGCCAAGCTGATCTCGAACTCCCTAGTTTAGGTGATCCACCTGTCTCAGCCTCCCAAAGTGCTGGGATTACAGGCGTGAGCCACTGTGCCCAGCCATTTTTTAATTGTTAGTAGAGATGAGTTCTCCATGTGTTACCTAGGCTAGTCTTGAACTCTTGAGCTCAAGTGATCCTGCCACCTTGGCCTTCCAAAGTGTTGGGATTACAGGTGTGAGCCACTACAGACAGCCCAAAAGCTATGTGTGTGTGTGTGTGTGTGTGTGTGTATGTGTATATATATATATTTTTTTTTTTGAGACGGAGTCTGGCTCTGTCGCCCAGGCTGGAGTGCAGTGACACGATCTTGGCTGACTGCGAGCTCCGCCTCCTGGGTTCACGCCATTCTCCTGCCTCAGCCTCCCAAGTAGCTGGGACTACAGTTGTCCGCCACCACGCCCGGCTCATTTTTTGTATTTTTAGTAGAGACAGGGTTTCACTGTGTTAGCCAGGATGGTCTCGATCTCCTGACCTTGTGATCTGCCTGCCTCGGCCCCCCCGAAGTGCTGGGATTACAGGCGTGAGCCACCGTGCCTGGCCAAAAGCTATATTTTGAATCACATTTGCACACTGGCTCAAGTTAAGCCACAGGGAAGTTCAATCTGAAATTTAGTTATCGTTATAAAAATTGCCATTTTTTTATAAATGGTATTTATATGCCATTTTTTATATAAGAGCCAGCTAATCAATATTTGAGTTACTTAATCAACAGCAGACTTGGAGTTATATGGATTTGAGAGACTTTTTAAGAGCCCTCAATTCATTTCCTCAACATTTTGGAACATGTGTTGATAATGTGATAAAACATTTCCCTTTGCCAACAATTGCTGATAATGCAATTGCCCCAAATAAACATAAAAAACAGAAAAACAAAAAACCAGACATCCTGAGTAATATATTCCAGAAATCAGATTGTGCATTTAGTGTTGCTAGGGAGGATTATGCCATTTTGCTGCTCCAAATCATAAACTTTTCATAGAGGAAGTGTTTCCCCAAGGACCAAAGAATCCTTCCTTTTTCCCCATTGTAAATTTACCGTGCTTTTTGTCCTAGATCTGTTGTTTTAGGTCAATCATAACCAAAAGAATCTTTATGTAGTTATTTCTGCAAACAAAATTTTACTTGTTGATGACTATATTAGTGTTACTAAAACTTGATTTGGCTTTGTAGAGGAGATATATCATTGTGTTGCGAATTTTAATTTCACCTTCTAATAGATTTTGTGGTTTCATTTTACCAGTTTTAATAATGAACAAGTGTGGTATTTTTAACTATCATACTTAAATTTTGTGTTTAATTTTTCTCTAAATTATATTTAATATGTTTACTTTTCAGGAATTACCCAACTCTGTCTTTTTGGTGATGGAGGTAGGTAGTATACAAACTTCTGTTTAATTTATTTCAAATTTCTTTTTTTTTTAAGATTCTAGCATAAATCTTCATATTTCAAATCCCTTTTGATTAATATGAACCTTAAGATTGACAGTAGATAAATTATTTGAATGTTTATATTAATAAAGTTGATTCGGTGATCTAGATTCTACTCAAGGAATATAAAATTTTAAAAATTTTGAATCTGTAATGTTTTTAGGCTATATTTACATGACATTATATACAAATGATTTTTTAATCACAATTGACAATGGATTGAATTAATCTTGAATCACTGTGTTTATTTTCATTACTTTCTCTTTTCTATGTCAGTATTGCAATGGTGGAGACCTCGCAGATTATTTGCAAGGTAACTGTGTGTGTGTCAGTGTTCAATAAAGATAGTGCTGCAGCCTGTTTAATTCTAAGAGGTACTTTTGAAATACACTACCCGTTTTCTGCTCTTGTATAGAAACATTCAATAAATATTTGTGTATTTGTTTGACTTGTGATCACTTTGCAGACCAGTTGTTTGTGGTTTTGTTCCTAAGCTTTACTTGTATATAAGTATTTACCTTTTTGTGTGTCTCTCTCTGATAGTGTTTGAGAGATGGTCCTATCCCCAGGAGAGGAGAAACCCCATAGAATTCCTCTCCTTCAAAAGGCTTCACTGAGTTGTAGTCCTTTTCATTTCTTTCAAAATAAAAAAAAATTGTAGTGGAAAAATGTATCCAAGAATGTATTTGTGTGAACATTTCTTGTAATTAAAAAAAGGCAACAAAAAACATTATAAGGCATTAAAGGTAACAATGAAATTATTTTGTGGTACAGAAGTAAGATTTTAGTATTAGATGGTGCTTGAAATTTTGAACCCAAAATGCATACATGTAGGATATGAAGCATTCAGATCAAATTGTGTGCCTCCAGAGTATTTTCTTTTTCTTTCTTTTTTTTTTGGAGACAAAGTCTTGCTCTGTCACCCAGGCTGGAGTGCAGTGGTGCATTCTCGGCTCACTGCAACCTCCGCCTCCTGGGTTCAAGTGATTCTCCTACTCAGCTTCCTGAGTAGCTGGGATTACTGGTACATGCCACCACGCCCAGCTAATTTTTGTATTTTTAGTAGAGACAGGGTTTCACCATGTTGATCAGGCTGGTCCCAAACTCCTGACCTCGTGATCCGCCATCCTAGGCCTCCCAAAGTGCTGGAATTATAGGGTGAGCCGCCGCACCTGGCCAGTGAAGCCAGTACCTACTTGTTCACCCCTTAAAAGATACAAGGGGAATATGCAAAAAGACAGTAAAAAGTTAACACATTCAACCTATAAATAGATTACGGCGTCTGAGCGCGGTGGCTCATGCCTATAATCCCAGCACTTTGGGAGGCCGAGGCGGGTGGATCACCTGAGGTTGGGAGTTCGAGACCAGCCTGACCAACATGGAGAAAACTCATCTCTACTAAGAATACAGAATTAGCTGGGGGTAGTGGCACATGCCTGTGATCCCAGCTACTTGGGAGGCTGAGGCAGGAGAATCACTTGAATCCAGGAGGTGGAAGTTGCAGTGAGCCGAGATCACAACATTGCACTCCAGCCTGGGCAACAAGATAGAAACTCCCATCTCAGAAAAAAAAAAAAAAAATAGATTACGGCAGTTGGTGGTAAAAGCACTGTGGACAATTTACAAAATATAACATAGATATATAGGATAATATAGAATATTGCTAACATTCAGAAGCTGTGTAGAGAAAAATGTAAAGAATACCGGTACTTGCACCCCCACCACCATTTACAAGGGAATTATAGGCTGGGCATGGTGGCTCACACCTGTAATCCCAGCACTTTGGGAGGCCAAGGTGGGCGGATCACTTGAGGTCAGGAGTTTGAGACCAGCCTGTTCAACATGGTGAAACCCTGTCTCTACTAAAAATATAAAACGTAGCTGGGCATGGTGGTGCATGCCTGTAGTCCTAGCTGCTTGGGAGGCTGAGGCAGGAGAATCTCTTGGACCCGGGTGGCGGAGGTTGCAGTGAGCTGAGATCAAACCATTTTACTGCAGCCTGGGCTACAGAGCAAGACTCTGTCTCAAAAAAAACTCAAAAAAATAGAAAAAAGAAATTATAAATACAGTTGAAGCTCCCTGTAAGCCCTTCTGCAGTCCCATTCCTGTCCTTTCCCTAGAGGCAGTCATTGTCCTGAATTTGGTAGTTAAAAAAAAAAAAACTGTCAATTTAGTAAACACATTTCAAAATGTTATTCATAAATAGAACGCAGTGAGACAGACACTTTCATTCACTGCTGTTGGAAAGGAGTTGAAGCTGGAAAGCACCCTGCCCTGCCTTTCTTCACGTTCTTGGTGTTCCTGATGAAGCACTTTTCTACTTGGGGTCAGACTGAGTGACACCAGCTTACAGCCCTTATTAGAATACCAGTTGTTTTTTGACTCCTGTGGCTCATGCCTATAATCCCAGCACTTTGGGAGGCCCAGACGGGTGGATCACGAGGTCAGGAGATCAAGACCATCCTGACTGACATGGTGAAACCCCATCTCTACTAAAAATACAAAAAATTAACCGGGTGTTGTGGCGGGCGCCTGTAGTCCCAGCTACTTGGGAGGCTGAGGTGGGAGAATGGCGTGAACCTGGGAGGCGGAGCTTGCAGCGAGCTGAGATCACACCACTGCACTCCAGCCTGGGTGACAGAGCAAGACTCCGTCTCAAAAAACAAAAAAAGAGTTTTTTCTTTTCTAGAGAGCATGTTGTTAAAAAAAAAAAAAAAAGAATATCAGTCTCATTAACAACTATTATTCACCCATAGAAGCACTATTACAACAGTTTTGTTGAACTCTTGTGTTTGATACTCTAAAGCAATATTGTTAGGAAACTCAATAGTGAAGAGCTTAAGAGCTTGAATGTTGGAGTCAGTCAGGCAAGCATGGTTCTAGCACCAGTGTTTACTCATACTGCTGTATGATTTTGGTTTTATAACTTCTCCCTGGTCTTTCTCTGTCACAGTCTGTAAGGGAATCCCTTGTAGTATGAAAGCACTTTAAAGACATATGAAAGAAATTCTGGTCCTTAGAGGAATTATTGAGAGCTGCACTGTCCAATATAGTAGCCACTGACCACATTGGGCTCTTGAAATGTGGCTAGGCAGAATCAAGATGTGCTGTAAGTGTAAAATGCACAACGGAATTTGAATACTTCATCAGAAGGAAAGAATGATTAAATCTCATTAATTTAAAAGTATTTATTACGAGTTGAAATGGTAATATTTTGGATATATTGAGTTAAATATATTAATTATATCTCTTTCTTTTCACCTTTTAAAATCTGGCCACAAGAAAATGGAAAGTTTGATGTGTGGCCACCTTAATATTCATGTTGGAGAGCACTGGTCTAGAAGGTCTGGAATGTTTAGAAGGTCTGGAATGTCTAGAAGGTTGAATGCCATTGTGTCACAATAGGATCATTTAGTCCTTTAATTTGCTCTTTGAAACAAACACCTTTTACATTTTCTTTCTTTCTTTTTTTCTTTTTTATCTTTTTGAGACAGAGTCTCACTCTATCGCCCAGGCTGGAGTGCAGTGGTACGATCTCGGCTCACTGCAACCTTTGCTACCTGGGTTCAAGCCATTCTCCTGCCTCAGCCTCCCAAGTATGCTACAGGCACCTGCCACTGTGCCTGGCTAATTTTGTATTTTTAGTAGAGACAGGGTTTCGCCATGTTGGCCAGGCTGGTCTTGAACTCCTGACCTCAGGCGATCCACCCTCCTCGGCCTCCCAAAGTGTTGGGAATACAGGCGTGAGCTGCCGTGCCCAGCCAAAATGAATTTTAAATACACCATCCATTTCAGTTGTCGCTATGTAATTTAAGTAAAGCATAACAAAAATAAAGTTCTAGTTGTTGATTTGACTTCTCCACTATTATGCAATAATATATATATTAGCATCTGCAAGAAAGTAGATCTGGAAAAATGTACATCAAATTTTTAACAGTGTTCATCTCCAAAGGATGAATTTTTTTTTTTTTTTTTGAGACGGAGTCTTGCTTTATTGCCCAGGCTGGAGTGCAGTGGCAGGATCTCGGTTCATTGCAAGCTCCACCTCCCGGGTTCAGACTATTCTCCTGTCTCAGCTTCCCGAGTAGCTGGGACTACAGGTGTGCACCACCATGCCGGGCTAATTTTTGTATTTTTAGTAGAGACAGCATTTCACCGTGTTGGCCAGGCTGGTCTCAAACTCCTGACCTCGTGATCCACCTGCCTTGGCCTCCCAAAGTGCTGGGATTACAGGCGTGAGCCACCGCAGCCAGCCCCCTGAAATTTTTTTTAATTTTAATTTTTAATTTTATTTATTAATTTTTGAGATGGCATCTGTGTAGTCCAAGCTGGAGTGCAATGGCACGATCTTGGCTCACTGCAACTTCTGCCTCCCAGGCTCAAGTGATTCTCGTGCCTGAGCCTCCCAAGTAGCTGGACCGTAGACGTGTGCCACCATGCCTGGCTAATTTTTTGCATTTTAGTAGAGGTGGGTTTTCATCATGTTACCCAGGGTGGTCTCAGACTCCTGAGCTCAGGTGATTCGCTCACGTTGGCCTCCCAAAGTGCTGGGGTTACAGGTGTGAGCCACCATACCCAGCCTTAATTTTTAATTTTTTTGTAGAGGCAGAGTCTTACCATGTTGCCTAGGCTGGTCTCAAACTCCTGGGCTCAAGCAATCCATCTGCCATGGCCTCCCAAAGTGCTGGGATTACAGGCATGAGCCACACACTGGGCCATATTTGGTAATTTTTAAATCATAAAGTTTTATTTTATTTGAAGATGTTAAGGACATGTAAAACTTGACAGGTCATTAAAATGATTTTAAAACCATAATATTTCACTTGTTCCAAGTATTAATGTTATTTCTCTCTTATTTACAAATGGAAAGGTTATATAGAACATATTCTAAGAATTACATGGACAGACATGCATCACAAATAATTTAAATACGTACACGGATACTAAATCCTCAGTGGAGGTAAGGAATTACACTTGTGACTTTTAGACTCATTGTAATAAGCTTATTTATATACTTTTTTTTTTTTTTTGAGAGGGAGTCTTGCTCTGTGGCCCAGGCTGGAGTGCAGTGGCCGGATCTCAGCTCACTGCAAGCTCCGCCTCCCGGGTTTATGCCATTCTCCTGCCTCAGCCTCCCGAGTAGCTGGGACTACAGGCGCCCGCCACCTCGCCCGGCTAGTTTTTTTTGTATTTTTTAGTAGAGACGGGGTTTCACCATGTTAGCCAGGATGGTCTCGATCTCCTGACCTCGTGATCCGCCCATCTCAGCCTCCCAAAGTGCTGGGATTACAGGCTTGAGCCACCGCGCCCGGCCATTTGCATACTTACTACATTGAAATATTATGTGCAAAGCCCTTTTCTAAAGATTTCATAATTGTTTTCTTTTCTTTTTTTTTTTTTTTTTGAGATGGAATCTTGCTCTGTCACCCAGGCTGGAGTGCAGAGGCACGATGTCAGCTCGCTGCAAACTCCGCCTCCCGGGTTCACGCCATTCTCCTGCCTCAGCCTCCCGAGAAGCTGGGACTACAGGCGCCTGCCACCAAGCCCGGCTAATATTTTTGTATTTTTAGTAGAGACGGGGTTTCACTGCGTTAGCCGGGGTGGTCTCAATCTCCTGACCTCGTGATCCTCCTGCCTCGCCCTCCCAAAGTGCTGGGATTACAGGCGTGAGCCACCGCGCCTGGCTTCTTTTTAATGTAAATTTTTTTTTGCTAATCTTCTCTGTACCAGTTTTATTATATGTGCTGCTGAAATGAGCAGAAGTTTTCATTATTAAATGGGTTTTATTTAATCATCATGTCAACCTCATGTAGTCTCATCAACTTTTATACATGAGGAAGGTGGGCACAGAGGGATCGGCTTTTAGGGTAACACATTCAGTGGAAGACCTGGGAGTTGAACAAAGGCAGCCAGACTCCAAATCAAGCTGTTAACCACAACATGCTCAGGCATACACAGAAATACTGTAGAATTTACTGAATAGGCTGGTCACAATGTTTCTCACTGTAATCACAGCACTGTGGGTGGCCGAGGCGAATGGATCACTTAGGTCAGGAGTTCAAGACCAGCCTGGCCAACATGGCAAAACCCTGTCTCTACAAAAATAGAAAAATTAGTTGGACATGGTGAATCATGCCTGTAGTCCCAGCTACTCAGGAGGCTGAAGCAGGAGAATCTCTTGAACCCAGGAGGCGGAGCTTGCAGTAAGCCGAGATTGTGCCGCTGCACTCCAGCCTGGGGGCAGAGTGAAACTCTGTCTCAAAAAAAAAAAAAATTTACTGAATAATGACTCGCTACTTTCAAATAATGTTCATATCACCTCTTTATAGTGGTGAAATAGGTTAAAACATTTATTCTTAGGTATCTTTAGTTGTGAAAGAGATTCTAGTGGAATGGGGGATATGGGAGATAAAAGGACAGAGTAGATGCAGTAACACAGATGCCTCACAGGTACAGGTAGCAGTAGTGTCCAGGTCCCTCTGGTCAAAGATTTTGCTTGTTTGTAACTTGTGCTCACATAATGGTTGGAATTAAATATGGACACTTATTCCAGATATTTGACTAATATGAAGGGGAACTTAGCTTTTGGCTTGTAAAGGACATTCGTATTTATTGAGTACCTATGGTGTTCAGAGTCATGTGGGCACCATCAGCAGTAAAAACATGAAGGGAAAAGGCAAAACACACAGGTGAAACAAGATGAAAGTGCCCATCAGTTCTCTTTACAACAGGTTGACTACAAGTTTTGAGAAATCTTGTATCTCTTCATAAACGCCAATTATTAAAGTTAAAAATGAATAAATGTGAATCCAAATTCCTTATTCCCTTCATGCTGTCCTTCACAACCCAATCCTGTTGATGGAATATGCAGATGGTATTTGATTTTTTGTGCTTAAATATTTACGTGACTCCTTTTGTACCAGCAAAAGGAACTCTCAGTGAAGATACCATCAGAGTGTTTCTGCATCAGATTGCTGCTGCCATGCGAATCCTGCACAGCAAAGGAATCATCCACAGAGATCTCAAACCACAGAACATCTTGCTGTCCTATGCTAATCGCAGAAAATCAAGTGTCAGTGGTATTCGCATCAAAATAGGTAAATGGCCGTGTATTGTGTTATGGAAAGGACATTTTTGAAACTATTTTTAGACAACTTTAGCTTTGTTGAATGATGAATTTTTTTTTTTGAGATGGAGTCTTGCTCTGTTGCCCAGACTGGAGTGTAGTGGGACGATCTCGGCTCACTGCAACCTACGCCTCCTGGGTTTGAGTGATTCTCCTGCCTCAGCCTCCTGAGTAACTGGGATTACAGGCATGCACCACTACGCCTAGCTGAATTTTGTATTTTTAGTAGAGACAGGGTTTCACTGTGTTGGCCAGGCTGGTCTTGAACTCCTAACCTCAGGTGATCTGCCCGCCTCAGCCTCTGAAAGTGCTGGGATTACAGGTGTGAGCCACCACACCTGGCTAAATGATGGATTTTATTGATGCAATTTTGGTATTTTTATTGACATCGTGAAGTTCTCTTAGGTGAATCCTTTACATTATTGACAGTGTCTGCTAAGTCTCAGACGATGCTGACAGGCCCTCATCAGGAGCTCTAAATATGAATACCTGTGTCTCTCGAGAGGAAAATTGATGTGGTGTGGTTACTGGCAGCAAATTAATAACCCTGTTTCTTTTTTTTTCTTTGAGGTGGAGTCTCATTCTGTCACCCAGGCTGGAGTGAGGCACGATCTCGGCTCACTACAACCTCCGCCTCCCAGGTTCAGGGGATTCTCCTGCCTCAGCCTCCCAAGTAGCTGGGATGCGCAAGTAGCTGGCATGTTCCACCACACCCAGCTCATTTTTTTTTTGTACATATATATATATATATTTTTTTTTTTTTTTTGAGACGGAGTCTCGCTCTGTCACCCAGGCTGGAGTGCAGTGGCCGGATCTCAGCTCACAGCAAGCTCCGCCTCCCGGGTTTACGCCATTCTCCTGCCTCAGCCTCCCGAGTAGCTGGGACTACAGGCGCCCGCCGCCTCACCTGGCTAGTTTTTTGTATTTAGTAGAGACGGGGTTTCACCGTGTTAGCCAGGATGGTCTCGATCTCCTGACCTCATGATCCGCCCATCTCGGCCTCCCAAAGTGCTGGGATTACAGGCTTGAGCCACCGTGCGTGGCCTGTATATATTTTGTTAGTAGAGACGGGGTTTCACCATGTTGGCCAGGCTGGTCTCAAACTCCTGACCTCAGGTGATCTGCCTACCTTGGCCTCCCAAAGTGCTGGGATTATGGGCATGAGCCGCCACGCCCAGCCATAACCCTGATTCTTTACAGTTCCTAGGCTTTTGACATAGGGATCTCAGAGACCATCTGGTTTAGCCCTTGGCAGTTTTTTTTTTTTTTTTAGCAGTACCTCAAAATTATTTGAAACAATAAAAACATAATTGTTTACATTCTGTATCTGGTATTGATATTTAATGAAAACTGTATTAATGAGCTACTTACTATAATTAGTATTTTCACTTGCAAAGTTTCATGCACCTTGGTTACAAATCTGGCAGTGGAGTGACTTGTACAGTTGATGATTACTACTATTTTTAGCTTGTTGAAATTGAGGTAGCTAGTTTTTTCTTTGGTGGACAGTGATATTCAGTAAGCTGTTTATTTTTCACAGTCCTTTATGCCTTCTTGTGTCTTGAAGAATCATATGATGTATGTTAGGTATGAGCGAAGATATAATTTGATTTTCTACTTTCTATTTTGTGAAATAGCGGATTTTGGTTTTGCTCGTTACCTACATAGTAACATGATGGCTGCAACACTGTGTGGATCCCCCATGTATATGGTGAGTGAGTGTTTGCATCCTTGTGTGTTTAAAGTGTGGCTCCATAAGCATTGGAATTTAAATATAATGCTTGCTTCCAAATAAGATGTGATTTTACATATAGTCCAAGTTGTTATTACTAATGTTAATTATATTACTGATAATGCTATAATACAGAAATCTTTTGCCTTAGCATAGTGAACTATAAAAGTAGGAATGCTTAAAAAACACCTTATGGGAGCACTTCTTCAGCTGTAGGATGTGCTCATCTTTTGCATGTTAACTCTCTTGACAGGATCCTATATTGTAGATGTTTTTTCTATTAGCCTCACACTCAAAGCTGAAATACCTCAGCTTTCCCCTTTATCCTCTCATATAGATATCATCATGTATTATAGGGTTAGGTTATGAAACTTCTAAACTAATGTGCAGTGTTAAGTCTGGAAATACCTTAATTCTAGAGCTTCAGAATTATGTGAAATGTACCTATTTCAGTTCTAAGTTTAAAATGGGTTTATATTAAATTCAGAATTTCTCTAAACTAAAATCAACTTTGAACTATTAATCAAATTTCAAAAAAAATTTTATCAGATTTACTGTCAATCATAATTTCACTGCTTATATATAATACATTTTATATATTTTAAATTTATAAAAAATATAAATTTTAAAATTACTTTGTACTTCTTGAGTATAAAATTAGTTTAGCCTTGAGGTTAGAGTGTTTTGGCTGATTATTAAAGGAAATTGACTTAATAAGAAATTTAGTAGGGAAAATAAATAAAAATGTTATGTCTGAGCTGGATGTAGTGATGCATGCCTTTGGTCCCAACCACTTGGGAGACTGAGGCAGGAGGACTTCTGAAGCCCAGGAGTTCATGGCCAGCCTGTGAACACAGCAAGACCCCATTTCCAAAAAGAATTAAAGTTGAAATGTTACATGTGGGAAATAAAACTATCTTTAAGTATATTTTCCATTTCTGTTTAGTATTTGTCCTGATTAATGGTATATTTAAAAAGCAAAATTTGATGAGAGGTGGGAAAATACCTGTAACAAAGCAGCAGATAAATGGTTTTGCTTTTAGGACAATTTTTATTATTGTGTGGGGTTTTGCATCATAGTTTTTATTACTGTAGAAGTGTTCAGATTACAAAAAACATAGGGAATAATATAGCAAACTCCTATGTACCCACCATCCATATTTCACAAAGTTAGCATTTTGCCATGTTTGTCTTGATCTTGTTTTTGAAAGAAATAAAATAGGCTGGGCATGGTGGCTCATGCCTGTAATCCCAGCAGTTTGGGAGGCCGAGGCGGGAGGATCATAAGGTCAGGAGTTCGAGACCAGCCTGGCCAACATGGTGAAACCCCGTCTCTACTAAAAATACAAAAAATTAGCTGGGTGTGGTGACAGGCGCATGTAATCCCAGCTACTCGGGAGGCTGAGGCAGGAAAATCGCTTGAACCCAGGAGGTGGAGGTTGCAGTGAGCCGAGATCGTGGCGCTGCGCTCCAGCCTGGGTGACACAGGGAGACTTGTTCTCAAAAAAAAAAAAAAAAAAAAATATATATATATATATATATATATATTTATGTATGTATGTTGGAGACAGCCCAGGTTCCTTTTGTACTTCTCCCTGATTCCATTTCCTCCTCTGCTCCTTTCACACACCTGAGGGAACCTCTGTCCTATGGTATGTATTTTATACACCATGTCCTATGGTGTGTATTTTTCTTTGTTATTATTTTGGTCCTCTCATTGTACTTTATGTGTCCATTATAATCAGTTGAAACATTTGTTTCTATAACTTGCTCCTTTTCATGCAACATTGATTTTGAGATTTACTAGTAAATCTCAATATATGATAATATGTTGTAAGTTCATTGCCTTATTATTTGATTAGAGAACTATCACAGGGTGTTGTTTTATTCTGGTAGTTTGTTAGGAGTGTCACCTTTACCAGTTAATATGTGCATATTAATTATGTAAATACTGCATGCCCCTTAAATTTCTCTGTCCCCAGGCTCCTGAGGTTATTATGTCTCAACATTATGATGCTAAGGCTGACTTGTGGAGCATAGGAACAGTGATATACCAATGCCTAGTTGGAAAACCACCTTTTCAGGTAGGCTGACTTTTTTCTTATGTCCTCAGTTTTGGAATCTTGTCATTTTATAGTTGCGTTTGATTTGTAAAATGAAGAATACTTTGAAAGCAGTGTTTTTGGCTCCTCTGTGACTTACTTTGATTCTTTTATAGGCAAAAACTGCTTTAGTGAGTCAGAACATCTTTTGGTTTTCCCCTTTTATCTGCTTGCCCTTTGTAGTTGAACTGGGCATGCAGTCTGTTGTATGTTGGGATCAGGGCTAACAGCCTGATGGGAAATGGGTGTGAATGGTGACACCACAGCTTCCTGGTTAGCCTGGTTTTGAGATCCTGGAATCCACATGAGGGCTGGGGCTGTCTGGGGAGATCTCTGGAAACCATCTCTAGCTCTCTATTCCTGACACTGCTAGGTGAGAGGGAGGTAATTATATATGCTTTATGGAAATTATTATGGGTCTGTCTTCTCCTCTCCCCCAACATCCTGTCAAAAAGTGACCCTGTAGAGTATAATCACGATGATTTCTCTTGAGTTCATATTGTCATGTTATAATTTCTTATATCATAAAGAAGATCTTTGAATTTGAAAACTGGAACAAAATGAAAATATTTGCCTAAGATAGTATTAAGAAAATTAGTGACACAGCCAGGTTAAACACTTTTAATTTCTTAGTCTAGTTTGCATTGTAGAGGAGGCTTCTACATTTAAGCAGTTTTTGTTATCAGCTACTTGTTGCTGTGGAGAGACTGCATAGTAGCAGTATACATAGTTCTTTTCTTTGAATTCCTTTAGGGTCCTAAGGTAAAGTACACCTGAATTTTACCCAACAATAACGTACTTATTGGGCAGGCCATGTAACCTTCGGAATAGTGACCCTTAATCTATTCTAAGTTTCAGGCTCCTCTGAGAGTCTGACCTCAGAAAAGCTACCTCAGAAAAGGTACATTATACTCAGATGTACAGAATTTTCACACAATGTCATATGACTTTGTTTTATGACTTTCTAATGACCAGTTATGGCTCCTTCAGCAATCCATGGCTTTCAAGTTGAGAATCTATGTTCTGTAGCAAGAATATGAGCATCATCTCTCTTTCCTTTCCTCCTCCCTCATACTTTCCCTCCTTTCCTCTGAATCCCTTCCTTGAAACTCCCACTCCCTCAATCCGTTAAAAAAAAGAATATGAGCGTCAATCATATGATTTGGAAGTTTTGCCCCCATTGTTTAGGAAATTAAACCTTTTTTTTTTTAATAGGCCAATAGTCCTCAAGACTTAAGGATGTTTTATGAAAAAAACAGGAGCTTAATGCCTAGGTATGTGTTTAGATTACACTGGGTTTTACTATTTGTGAACACAGTGTTGTTTATTTGAACTGTTTGTGTTTTATGTATTCTCATTTTTGAATTCTTTTTCAGTTGATAATGTGAAAGCATTTGTTATAGCAAATTGGAAAATTGCTGGCACATCATAGGTGTCTGTGTAGTACTGTACTCTTTTCTTTCTCTTTTAAAATGTAAATGTAAATTTGAAAGAAAAAGATACGGAAGTTACATGTGTTCATTGTGGGGAGGGTAATGTGGACAGAATAGATACACGGAAAGTAGAAAGTGAATTCCCCACAGCTTTGCTCTCTTCTTTAGGGGTAACAAGAGTTTGCTGTATCTCTTTCTACATAGTTTTTGTGGGAATTCTTTATACATGTTTGAGTGCTTGTTTTCCTTTTGTTTTCTCTTGAACTTGTATCTTGAGATGAGTGCTTGTTTATGTATGTATTTATACACACACATAGTTTAAGACAAATTACATCATATTTTGTGAGTTGTTTGCAGTATCCTTTTGTTTTTTACTTTGTAGTACATCACAGATGATGTTCCTCAACAGGATGTGGAAAGCCACTGTATGCTTTTTTATTTTGAGACAGAGTCTTGCTCTGTCTCCCAGGCTGGAGTGCAGTGGCACGATCTAGGCTCACTGCAACCTCCGCTTCCCTAGTTCAAGCAATTCTCCTGCCTCAGCCTCCCTAGTAGCTGGGACTGTAGGTGCCCGCCACCACACCGGGCTAATTTTTGTATTTTTTTTTTTATTATTAGAGACGGGGTTTCACCATGTTGGCCAGGCTGGTCTTGAACTCCTGACCTCAAGTGATCCTCCCACCTTGGCCTCCTAAAGTGCTGGGATTATAGGTGTGAGCCACCATACCTGGCCAACTGTATGCTTTTTTTTTTTTTTTAGATGATTAATAGGCTATTTAGGCAGGAGTACATATAGTCATCGACAGACTTAACATGAGAGATTAAATGTCTGACCCAATTTTCCTTCCCGGATAAGCTTTTCTTTCCTATCCCTGTCAGTTTTGAAAACATAATAGCAGAAGGAGAGGGGTCCAAGTCCACACAGAGCTCCCAAGAGTGAGTTTTTAGGAGTGGGTCTGAAATTAGGATAGACATTTGCTGATCTTGCATAGGTCCAACGAATGAAGGCAGGATCTTCGATGAGCCCTCTGCAGTTGGGGTGGTTGTACTGAAGCAGGTACTCTTGTTTCAGCCGAACTCTTATGGCCAACGGCTCGACTTGCGCCCGTCGGGTTTCTGGAGATATGTCGTATTTGGCTGGGTCGAGGGTTGGGGGCAGAGTGGCCAGGCGCGATGGAGTATACTTTGGGAACGACATCTTGGTGACCCAGGGCACAACTGCACCTGCCACTGTATGCTTTTAAATGCCACAGAGAGTCCCATAGATGTACATTACTTTATTTAATCAGATCCCTGTTTTCATTTTTTGGTCACTACAAACAGGCTCTAGTGAAGTGTGTGTGTGTGTGTGTTTGTGTGTGTGTGTACACCTTTGTGTATGTGTGCATTTTGTTAGTTTGGACTTCTAGAAATGGAATTGTCAGACCAAAAGATGCACTTTCCAAATAGGCTATCCCAGTGAATACAGCAAGATAGAAGACTGCCCCTTTTCCCTCATTTTTACCAACACAGAATGTTAGCGGATTTCATGCTGCACAAATGCATGAGGACCAGTTAGCTATTAATTTAATTTGGATCGTTCTCTTCATTAGTGAGTTTGGCTCCTTTGTATTTGTGTTTTTTTTTTTTTTTTTTTTTTTTGAGACGGAGTCTCGCTCTGTCACCCAGGCTGGAGTGCAGTGGCGCGATCTCGGCTCACTGCAAGCTCCGCCTCCCGGGTTCACGCCATTCTCCTGCCTCAGCCTCCCGAGTAGCTGGGACTACAGGCGCCCACAACCGCGCCCGGCTAATTTTTTGTATTTTTAGTAGAGACGGGGTTTCACCGTGGTCTCGATCTCCTGACCTTGTGATGCGCCCGCCTCGGCCTCCCAAAGTGCTGGGATTACAGGCGTGAGCCACCGCGCCCGGCTTGTATTTGTTTAATCTTTTTCTTTTTCTTTCTTTCTTTTTTTTTTTTTGAGATAGAGTCTTGTTCTATTGCCAGGCTGGAGTGCAATGGCATGATCTTGGCTCACTGCAATGTCCACCTCCCGGTTTCAAGCCATTTTCCTGCCTCAGCCTCCCAGGTAGCTGGGACTACAGGCAGGCTACCACGCCCGGCTAATTTTTGTATTTTTAGTGGAGACAGGATTTCACTATGTTGTTCAGGCTGGTCTTGAACTCCTGACCTCAAGTGATCCACCCGCCTTGGCCTCTCAAAGTGCTGGGATTACAGACGTAAGACACCGTGCCCAGCCTGTTTAATATATTTTTGTAATTCTTATTCTTTGAATTGTGTACTTCTATTACTTCACTCATTTTCCTATTGCTTGTTGTTTTCATATTGGATGTTAGGAAGTTGTATTAGTTCTCACTTGTGTTTAAGTGCTGCCCTTTTCCAGACGGAAATGGAGGTGGCTATTTTGTAATACAGAACATTATAGCAACTATTAGTACAAGATTGAAGTTATGGTAAAACTCAACATTGGGCTTGTGAGGTGCCTTACTCCTGCAGATACTCAAATAACAACAAGCACAGTACAGGAATCTTCTCAATTTGATGCTGTTTCTCAAAGGCAGTTTAGTGCTTTTTTTTCCTTCTTTAGATGACTCTTACATGGTCTTCTTGGTATAAATGTATTGGTATTTGTGAAACCACATATATGTTTTAGTTTACTATATGGAAGGCAAAAATTAATGTTGTTTATATATATAAACTTATCACTTAGGTGGTTGTGTTTTTCCTTTCCCCCAGTATTCCCAGAGAAACATCACCTTATTTGGCTAATCTCCTTTTGGGTTTGCTTCAGAGAAACCAAAAAGATAGAATGGACTTCGGTAAGAAATAGTTTCAACTTTTGCATGCTTTCTAACTTTATTGTTATATGTGCTGAACGATTTTAAAAATAGAGATTTCAGAAGAAAATTGAAGTCAGTTTCGCTTTTCTTTTTATTTTCTTCACTAGTTTCGTAAATATTTATTGAGTGCTTATTACTATGTTCTAGGTATGGGAGATAGAGTAATAAAATCTCTCTCCTCATGTAGCATATATTCTAGTGGTAGAGAGAGACAAGAAACAAATTAAAAACCATAGTTACATATTATATTAGAAGTTGCTAAGTATTGTGGGAATAAAGAAGTAGGGGTGGGGTGGGGGTGGGGATTGAAATTTTAAATAAGATAGTCAGTGAAGACCTTATTGAGAAAGTGACATTTGAACAAAGACTTGACTTGAAATGAGAGTGAGCCATAGGATATCTGTGGGAAGAGCTTTTTAAGCAGAGTGAACAGCCAATACAAATGCTTAGGGTTGGGCACATGCCTGTAAGCTTGAGGAACAACTAGAAAGCCAGTTGAAGACTTGGGCTTTTCCACAAAGTGTGATGGGAGCCATTAGAGAGTTCTGAGTGGAGGAAAAGTGATCTGACTAATGTTTTTAAAAAGGATCAAGCTGGCTGCTGCTTGAGAATAGACTGTGTGCATATAAGGGGAAGAGCAGAAGCTGGGAGACTAATCGGGAGACTCTTGTCGTTACCCAGGTGAGAGATGAGTGTAGCTTTGACTAGGATAATAGCAGTGGAGGTGGTAAGAAGCCTTTCTGGAGGTAGAGGCAACAGCATTCACTGATGGATTGAATCTGAGGGTGTGAGAGGGAAGACTCAAGGATGACTCCAAAGTTTCTGGCCTGAGCAGCTGAAAGGATGTTGTCAGTTACAGTGATGGGAAAGACTGTATGGATAGAGCAGGCTATGGGGACAAGATGAGTTTCTGCTGGATATGTTACATTTAAGATAACCATTGGATGTCTAAGTGTCAATGTCAGAAGTGCACTTGAATTTCAGAAAAGGGTAGACTGGGGGCAGATTGGGGAGTTGTCAGCCTGTGGTTGGTATTTATTTATTTAATTAAAAAAAATTTTTTTTTTTTTTTTTTTTTTTTGAGACGGAGTCTCACTCTGTCCCCCTTGCTGGAGTGCAGTGGCCGGATCTCAGCTCACTGCAAGCTCCGCCTCCCGGGTTCAGGCCATTCTCCTGCTCAGCCTCCCGAGTAGCTGGGACTACAGGCGCCCGCCACCTCGCCCGGCTAGTTTTTTTGTATTTTTTAGTAGAGACGGGGTTTCACTGTGTTAGCCAGGATGGTCTCGATCTCCTGACCTCGTGATCCACCCGTCTCGGCCTCCCAAAGTGCTGGGATTACAGGCTTGAGCCACCGCGCCCGGCCAAAAAATTTTTTTTGAGACAGGATTTTACTCTGTCACTCAGGCTGGAGTGCAGTGGTATGATCATGGCTCACTGCAGCCTCGACTTCCCCAGGCTCAGGTGATCCTCCAACCTCAGCCTCCCCAGTACCTGGGACTACAGGTGTACAACACCACCCCTGGCTAATTTTTGTATTTTTTTGTAGAGACAGGGTTTCGTTATGTTGCCCAGGCTGGTCTCAAACTCCTGGGCTCAAGCGATCTACCCACCTTGGCCTGCCAAAATGCTGAGATTACAGATGTGAGCCACCATGCCCAGCAATATTTATTAAATAGATTATTTTCTTTTTTATTCCCCCTTTATTTGAGAGAAGGCCTCACTGTATTACCCAGGCTGGACCGGGAATGCAGTGGTGTGATCGTAGCTCACTGCAACGTTGAACTCCTGGGGGCAAGTGATTCTCCCACCTCAGCTTCCTTAATAGCTGGGACTACAAGCCTGCATCACCACAGTCGGCTAATTTTTTGTTTTGTTTATTTAATTAATTAATTTATTTGTTTTGAGACGGTGTCTCACTCAGTCGCCCAGGCTGGAGTGCAGTGGCGCTATCTCAGCTCACTGCAAGCTCTGCCTCCTGGGTTCACGCCATTCTCCTGCCTCAGCCTCCCGAGTAGCTGGGACTACAGGCGCCCGCCACTATGCCTGGCTAATTGTTTTGTATTTTTAATAGAGATGGGTTTCACCGTGTTAGCCAGGATGGTCTGGATCTCCTGACCTTGTGATCCACCCGTCTCAGCCTCCTAAAGTGCTGGGATTACAGGCGTCAGCCACCGCGCCCAGCTTTGTTTTGTTTTTGAGATGGAGTCTTGCTCTGTCACCCAGGCTGGAGTGCAATGGCACGATCTTGGCTCACTGCAACTTCCGCCTCCTGGATTCAGGCAGTTCTCCGCCTCAACCTCCCGAGTAGCTGGGATTACAGGCACCCGCCACCACGCCCGGTAATTTTTTATATTTTTAGTGGTGACAGGGTTTTTCACCATCTTGGCCAAGCTGGTGTTGAACTCCTGACCTTGTGATCTGCCCACCTCAGCCTCCCAAAGTGCTGGGATTGCAGGCATGAGCCACCATGCCCGGTCTGTTTTGTTTGGTTTTTGAGACGAAGTTTTGCTCTTGTTGCCCAGGCTGGAGTGCAGTGGCATGATCTTGACTCACCGCAACTTCCGCCTCCCAGGTTCAAGCGATTCTCCTGCCTTAGCCTCCCAAGTAGCTGGGATTACAAGCGCCCGCCACCATGCCCTGCTAATTTTTTTTGCTTGTTTGTTCTTTTGAGAGGGAGTCTTGCTCTGTTGCCCAGGCTGGAGTGCAGTGATGCGATATCTGCTCACTGCAACCTCTGTCTCCTGGGTTCAAGCAATTCTCCTGCCTTAGCCTCCTGAGTAGCTGGGATTACAGGAGCACGCCACTATATACAGCTAATTTTTGTATTTTTAGTAGAGACGGGGTTTCATCATGTTGGCCAGGCTGGTCTCGAACTCCTGACCTCATGATCCGGCCTGCCTCAGCCTCCCAAAGTGCTAGGATTACAGGCGTGAACCACCACGCCTGGCCTAATTTTTGTATATATTTTTTTTTTAGTAGAGATGGGGTTTTGCCATGTTGTTTAGGCTTGTCTCGAACTCCCGGCCTCAGGGGATCCACCTGCCTTGGCCTCCCAAAGTGCTGAGATTGCAGGCGTGAGCCACCGGGCCTAGCCCAGTCGGCTAATTTTTTTACCCTTTTGTAGGGATAGGGTCTCACAATATTGCCAGGGCTATTCTCGAACTCCTGGCTCCAAGCAATCTTCTTGCCTCTGCCTCCCGAAGTGCTGGGATTACAGATATGAGCCACTGTGCCTAGTCAAAATAGATTATTTTCTAGTGTACCATTTAAATTCTTTCATTGAGTCTTCTGGCTTTTTTGTGCTATTTGTTATTTTTTTAAATGATTGATCTAGGGATTACAGTATGCATTTTAATTTATCACAATCTACTTTATATAAATACTAGTTGAGGCAGGGCGTGGTGGCCCACATCTGTAATCCCAGCACTTTGGGAGGCTGAGGTGGGCGGATCATGAGGTCAGGAGATCAAGACCATCCTGGCTAACACGGTGAAACCCCATCTTTACTAAAAGTACCAAAAAAATTAGCGGGGCATGGTGGCAGGCGCCTGTAGTCCCAGCTAGTCGGGAGGCTGAGGCGGGAGAATGGCATGAACCCAGGAGGCGGAACTTGCAGTGAGCCAAGATCTTGCCACTGCACTCCTCCAGCCTGGTTGACAGAGCGAGACTCTGTCTCCAAAAAAAGAAAAAGAAAACAAAAACAAAACAAAAAACTAGTTGAATTCCATTAAAATACAGAAGCTTTGTTCCGTTAATATGGCTTCATTTGCTCTTCCCTTTGTGCTGTTATTGTCTCACATATTATGTCTATGTTGTAATTTCAGCAGTGCAGTGTTACAACTATTGATTTATATAGTCTTACCTCTTTTAAAGAAGTGAGGAGAAGAAAGGTGAAAAACATGTATAGTGTCTTTTTGTGTGTTTCTCTTTTTTTTTTTTTTTTTTCTGAGACAGAGTCTTACTCTGCATCCAGGCCTAAGTACAGTGGTACAAACATGCCTCACTGCAGCCTTGAGCTCTTGGGCTCAAGTGATCCTCCTGCCTGAAACTTCTATGTAGCTGGGACTACAAGTGCACACCACCATGCCCAGCTAATTTTTAAATTTTTTGTAGGGAGGTTTTTGCCGTATTGCCCAGGCTGGTCACCAACTCCTGGGTTCAAGCAAACACCCTCCTCGGCCTCCCAGAGTGCTGGGATTAAATAGCCTTAGAGTACTATTTTAGCCTATAAATTTATCATTTGTGGCACTCTTCATTTATTCTTATGGACTCAAGTTACTGTTTGGTGTCATTTTTTTTCTTTTTGTATTTTTTTGTATCTCTTTTTTGTTTGGTGTCATTTTTTTTTAGCTCATATAATTCCATTCCTTTCCTCTTTTGTGTTGTCATATATATTAATCTTTGTATGTTACAAACAAAACCCAGTAGTACAATCTTATAATTATTTTATACAGTTATCCTTTAAATTGGTTAAGAGAAAAATACATAATATACTCTTCTGTAATTATCTGCATAATTACCAATGCTCTTTTTTTTTTTTTTTTTTTTTTTGAGACGGAGTCTCGCTCTGTCGCCCAGGCTGGAGTGCAGTGGCGCGATCTCGGCTCACTGCAAGCTCCGCCTCCTGGGTTTACGCCATTCTCCTGCCTCAGCCTCCTGAGTAGCTGGGACTACAGGCGCCCGCCACCGCGCCCGGCTAATTTTTTGTATTTTTAGTAGAGATGGGGTTTCACCGTGGTCTCGATCTCCTGACCTTGTGATCCGCCCGCCTCGGCCTCCCAAAGTGCTGGGATTACAGGCGTGAGCCACCGCGCCCGGCACCAATGCTCTTTATACAGATTCTCAGAATCTTCATTTATCTGGGAATGTCATTATTTCCCTTTATTTACCTTCACTTTGGAAAAGTGTTTTTTTGGTAGATACTGAATTCTTGGTTGTTAGGATTTTCTCCAGCCAGTACTTTGACTATGTCATCTTAC